CTCCAGATATGTGCAGTATTATTAACAATGTTTATCACTATACTCCTTTATTGGAAAGTGCAACAGGATATGTTGGCTCAACAAAGTCAAGATAATAAAAAGTTGAAATGTAGTTGAGTTGAATTGTGTCTGGTCTATCGGGAAAATGTTAAATGTATTCAATAATACACAGAACATATTAAATGGTAATAATAACAGATGCTATAGGTTAAAAAGTGTTCAATCGCTGTTTGAAAGTTCAGTGTAATTCCAGTAACAGGCCGCAGTTGGCACGCGGACACTGAGCCAACCTGACGCTAATATGTGTGCTTTGCTATATCATGTCATAAGCATGTTTAGTCATATAAATGTGCAGAAAGCTTGTATATTCAGCTGCCACTGTAATTCTATTTTTGCATGACAGATGTACTGTAGAAAAAGGAAATAGTTTCTGCTGTGATGCATAGGACAAAAAATGCTCGGATGCAGGTGTTAACGCACAAAGATGCTAAACCAGAGAAGGAATGTCTGTAAGATGTCCACTTCCTTTAGAACTGTACCTTTTGATTTTCTTTTGACAAACAAAACATGCAATAGCAGCATCATTATAACATTCCTTTTATAATCCTAGGAGGAATTTCAGCAAAGTACACTATCCTAATATTTCTAGAACTTTTTAGAAAACAGTTCACAACCTAATAATGAAAGTAACACAAAACACTGGTTTAAAAAAAAAAAAAAAAAAAAAAAAGAAAATTCTATTCAAGTATTTATATAGTGCCATCAACGTACGCAGCACTTACATATACATTTTGTACATTCGCATCAGACCCTAACCCTCAAGGGGTGTACAATCTAAGATCCCTAACTCACATTCATACATACACATACTAGGACCAATTTAGACAGGAGCCAATTAACCAACCAGCATGTCTTTGGTGTGTGGGAGGAAACTTACACAGGCACAGGGAGAACATACAAACTCCAAGTGTTGCCGTGGTCAGGATTCGAACCAATGACCCTGGTGCTACCCACATATTCTAAACTCCAAAATGTACCTTTCATTGCTCTCAGCCTCCTTCAAATCTAATCAAATTCCATTTTTTTTTTGCTGCTGTGATCAGACATCCTGTTAGAGGGTGGCTACATTCATTCTTTATGGTCCCATTGTATGTAGGAATGTAGCCACCCTCTTGCTTGCACCCAAGATGGGAAAGGGGGAGGTTTGGTAGCTCACGGAGGACATTACAAGGAGAAAGAACAAGACAGTAAGAAACAATTTCATGAAAAATAAATTACAGTGCTATAAGTAGTGGATTAATTTTGGAAAATAAGGACAATATTTAGTGTATTAAAATCAGAGCCCCTGTCCCATTTGACTATTCCTCTCTTTCTAGAAATACTTAATGTGGTTCTAAAAGTCATAATGTTTTTACCTTAATGCATTCTATTCATTAAGGTAAAAAAAAAAAACTTTCAGTGCATGCTTCTCCTTATTCCCCTACTCCGCCCCCCATATACTTTCCTGTCCTGTATTGATCCAGCGATGTACTCATCCGCAGGTCTTCTCTCTACTCTCTCACAGGTTTGGCTGAGAGCAGTGGAAGCCACTGGCTCCATTTACTGTCAGTAAAATCTAGTAAGGAGGAAGCGAGAGGTGGGGCTGAGCCATGCTGTGTGTATCAATGCACACACACGGCCTGACTCGGGAGCAAGCCCGCAGGTGTGCCACCCTGGGAAGCAGCTTCCTGTGGTGGCACAGACAGAAGAGGAGGAGCCTGGAGCAACAGCGAGGAACTCCAGAGGAGGAGGTTCAGGGCTGCTTTGTGCAATACGACTGCACAGAGCAGGTAAGTATAACATTTTTATTATTAAACATTAACTTTACAATCACTCTAACTCTGGTGACAATCAAATTGCACCTTGGTTCTATAGCCCCAGAAGTTAAACACAATTTAGAGAGTGAATCCAGACAACAGGTACAATCAGTGAACTATTAATGCTAGTCAGGAAACATAATGGTTATATGCAAATAAGGAAGTCCTCTAAATTGATCTCATTCTGGGTTTCATTCAGTACTTTGTAGCTAACTTTATTAGGCTTCTCAGACTACGTTTGAGCTCTGGTCACATGAGTTTGTGCTCTGCAGCATTTTCATTTTGCAGAAGCATGGAATACATTGGCCTTTATTATCTATTTAGAAGGTGAGGATATCAGCAACTACAGGTTGTCACAGGGCATTCTGCTGGAGGTTGCGGAAGACAAATACCGGAACACTAGGACAATAAATTGGAGCCTACCATTTAGCAGGTCAGGTTGAATTCAATTGTGTGTGCTTGACCAAAAGCAAACCAGCACTTTGCCCATTTTTCACCTCAGCATTTTTTACTTTTTTTTTTTAGTTTTGACAGTGGCAGAGAACTAGAAATTCAGTATTTTCTTACTGATAGCCAGGATTCCTCAAGTCCAGGTTCACATAGACAGCAAAGGGGTGATGAAAACAGGTGGTAAATACCTACCTACAAGTTGGCATGATGGCAGTTCAGGTTGGCGCACATTACCAGGGTCATGATGCTTCAGTTCGTGGTGGAGAACACTTAAAGATTAGTTCTAGGTATGGTATAATTTTTACATAGTTACACTGGTCCAGCCTAGACCAATGTAACTACATATACACCATACCTAGCTGATGCCCCTGGTAGCTGGAAATCACTGAAATAGACATTCTTACAGTGGTCATCACTAGCTTTTGGGTCCTGTGCTCAGCAGTCAGACTGATGCATTGTGATCACAAGAGTTTGGCCGCTCAGAATAGGAGCCATTCAGAAAACACTTTGTACTTTCTGAATGAATGCAAAGCATTCTCCAATTGGATGAGGCAAAGAGGCAGGGCAGTGACATCAAAATCAAGTGGAGATCAATGGAGAAGCAGGGTCTGCTTCAGTGGTTTCCAGCTTCCAGTGGCATCTGTCTAATATGGTATACACAGTACATAGTTATATTGGTCCAAGCTGATCCAATGTAACTATGTAAAAATACACTATACCTGGAATTTATCACATTTACCAAGTGGTGCCACTTGCCAAACACGCTTCTTTGAGTGGCATGGTATTTCATTGTAAAATTCCCCTTGGGATCACTTTATGAAAATCTGTAAACCATCACTCAGCTGCCTTTGAAAAGTGATCACTTTTCTGAATAGCAATAAAGTTCATTGTACATGGAGAGATTTCCTTTCACTTGCTGTCCTGCTGACCAGGTAGAAAATAGGGGGAAAAACTGCAACAGGAACACAGATTTCAATAAAAAAAAAAGTTTAAAGGCTCTAGCCTTTTTCTATTCATGAAAAGAAATATTTGTGTATGTGCTTCTGCTGGAGATTTTTTCTCACTGGTAAAGCCATTGGCCTGAGACATTGGGGGCACACTTCTCTAAAAATGTTCCAGATAGCAGCATAAATATGACAAGGTTCTAATCCTTTCGATTCTATCCAATTAAAAAAAAAAAATTAGCTGACCATACAATTTAAGGTAGTGCTTTCCATGTTTGTCTTGGGTGCAAACACCCATAGGAAGGAACTTTGGATTTTCATTGGCCTTGAAATCTTCAGTGTGCTGATTGCAAAAATAATAATGGCAAGTCCACATTAACATTATGTAATATAGAAAGCTACGTAGTAGGTTGTCTCTAAAAATACAGCATGAATGCAAAAGAAGAAATAACTATGCAACCCTTTTGGTTGTGGTCTCAATTTCACTTAAAATGGAATTTATAATATTTTATCTGAAATAACTACTTCAGGTATGATCCAAAATGCTAATTATTCAATAGCTTCTAACAATGAAGTGTTGTTTTTCAACCCATAATCTCTGAATGAACTGATTACATATTATTCCTAGTTACTGTTGGCTAGAAAAAAATGGGACTTTTGTTTTTCAATACAGTAAGGTAAATTAAGTTCATATAGTATGAATGATCGTTGTATATTTTAGCCAAATCACCAGAAGTAGGGCCTGTGCTAGAATAGGGGTTAAAAATGGATGGATGAACCCCTTTCTCCTTCGTCTCCCTCCCAGAGACTGAACTTGATCTTCTATCATTTGATGTCATGCAAGACCAGATAAATGACAAGTCTTTCGAGAGGCTGCAGAAGTCCTTTAGAACAGCTGCACAGCCTTCTCCACTTCTTTCCAGCAGGTTTCTCACTTAAGAAAAAAACACGCTTCATTACATCGCCTCTTACTTGAGCTGCAAGGGTCTATTCAAGGAAGATAAGCCTCTTAGAAATGAAGTAGCGTTGAATTTAGGTTTTGAGTGACAGCAGGAAGGTTTATCCATTGAACAGACAATACTGCTTTCTCTGCATTAAGCTAGGAGGCGGACAATGATCTGTTTTTTAGGCCGCATCTCATCTCTTTCCCACAGCAGAAGGTGATTAGAGTGAGGAAACAGGGACTCGAAAAGAAAGCTGAGTAGTATCTCTCCAGCCCCCTCCTGTTTCCTGAATAGAACTGGGTGGAAGTTCTAGGCCAAGTGCATCAATCACAGATTAGCTATGACTATGAGATGGGTTACCAGATGCGGGCGACCAACATATGGGCCACTACACAAACTGGTAATGTCTCACCAGTCCCTGACGTGGGGAAATTCTTATAGACTAGGTTTAGAAAATGGATCGAATTCCAACTGTAGAGTCCACCAAGATCCTCCTTATGTAGCAGATATTTACATTTTTGGGGTTGATTGTATACCATTTTTATCAAATACAATAATGCACATGTTTCTGTAATTCCAAAAAGTTGAAATGTTTTTTTCTATATTTTCTAGTTTCAACGAATTCATACCAGCAAGGTCCTTTCTTAGGATGACAGCGCCAAATAAATATATATTATTGGACTACAAACAGCCATGCCAACAGGCAGTGTACTGGCATATCCCGCCATCGCCACCACATGCTATGACATTGGTTTCTAAAAAAGTTTAAAGCTGTGCAAATATCTATTTATCTATACATCAAGCACCTAGGCATCCAGACTGCTTCTATACACATTTGTGAAAGAATGGGTTGCTCTCAGGAGCTCAGTGAATTCAAGTGTAGTACCGTGATAGGTTGCCACCTGTGCATTAAGTCCATCCGTGACATTTCCTTGCTACTAAATATTCCATGCTCAACTGTCAGTAGTATTATAACAAAGTGGAAGCAACTGGGAACAAACAGCAACTCAGCCACTAAGTGGTAGGCCACGTAAAATGACAGAGCAGGGTCAGCGAATGCTGAAGCGCACAGTGCGCAGAAGTCACCAACTGTCTGCAGAGTCAACAGCTAAAGACCTCCAAAGTTTGTGTGGTCTTCAGTTTAGCATAACAACAGTGCGTAGAAAGTTTCATGGAATGGGTTTCCATGGCCGAGCAGCTGCATCCAAGTCTTACATCACCAAGTGCAATTCAAAGCATTGGGTGCAGTGGTGTAAAGCACACCGCTACTGGACTCTAGAGCAGTGGAGACGTGTTCTCTGGAGTGACCAATCATGCTTCTCTGGCAATCTGATGGACATGTCTGGGTTTGGCGTTTGCAAGGAGAACGGTACTTGCCTGAATGCATTGTGCCAAGGGTAAAGTTTGGTGGAGGGGGGATTATGGTGTGGGGTTGTTTTTTAGGGGTTGGGCTTGGCCCCTTAGTTCCAGTAAAGGGAACTCTTAAGGCATCAGCATACCAAGACATTTTGGGCAATTTAATGCTCCCAGCTTTGTGGGAAGAGTTTGGGAATGGCCCCTTCCTGTTCCAGCATGACTGCGCACCACTGCACAAAGTAAGGTCCATAAAGACATCAAAGAGCGAGTTTGGGGTGGAGGAACTTGACTGGCCGCACAGAGTCCTGACCTCAACCCCACAGAACACCTTTGGGGTGAATTAGAGTGGAGACTGCAAGCCAGGCCTTCTCGTGCGATACCTAATAGCTACAACACTGCAGAAATAGTTTACATGCATATTGTAAAATAAAACAAATGTCTTTTATAATCCACCAAATTAACTTCCTTAGTTATGATCCGCTTGCATGATACAATCCAGTAAACTACTAACCTGGATGTACACTGAAACGTATTTCTCTCCGCGCAGTCCTGAGATGTACACAGTTCTGACACAGAGCACAGCCCTTTCTAGCAGGGAAGGAGACCTGATATTTCTGTAGTTTCACTTTCACTTACCCCTCCTCTTCTACCCTCCTCTTTCACTTATCACATCTCCACTTCTACCCTATGACTGAGCTGTGAAAGAAGAAGAAGCACACTAATAAATGAATCTCAGTGTTACTTTGCATTTCTTCCCCTATCAACATGCTCCTTGCCCTGTAGCACATTTGATTGGCTCCTTGCATAGCCATTTCCTCCCCCTCTCCGAACTCTGCTGTACAGTGCACTGCACATGGTAGATACCAAGTAATTTTGAGGTACTTATACTGCTTGCATTTAAAAAATACATCTAATGATGCATTACGGATTACAGAGCTTCATTTGAGTCTTTTATATCTGCCTGAAGTTCAGCTTTAAACTCTCACTGCTGCTTTAGAAGTTAGAACTGCAGAACATTGTAGTCAGCAGACTCTAGATCTCCACCTGCTGGCTTCACATGGTAATTATGAAATTGATATGCAATACTTCACATATTCTTTAAAACCTTCAGTCCTGAACATAGGAGTTGAAAAATATGTGCAAAAACATGATGCATCCCCTTATGCTTGTAAGTGCAAGGTAAAAAGCACAGCAATGATCCTACTACTGTTTATAAGTAAATGTAGACGTCTACGACCACTCCATGGTTCTGTGTGGAGGGATCTGAAGGTGGGATTCATGTTCGATTTAAAGTGGCAAAACACTTCATACATTCATTTGTCAACACTACAAGGAGCCTCATTTCAATTTCAAATCCCCTGTCTTGTTCAACAAAGCAGATAGAATTTTTATCAACATTTGATAGTATAATTATTTGTAAACGCAACTAACATGTAAATTGAAGGGTCCAGGCAAAAACTCATTTTGTGCTTGTAATCTCATTGTGAGAACCTAGCCTCTTCTATGAGCCAGGGACACTGCAAGGCCGGTAGGTGTTAATAAACAAGCAGAACAAAAACAAGTAGACAATGATAGCAGATATATTATACTTGTGTGTGTATTTGTGCAGAGATATCCCAGCATTGCATCATATTATCATTACATCGTTATTATACAAAGCATTATAGGTTATACGATCTCTTTTATCTGGTAAATTGTGTGGTATAACATGTCCCTGGGAACAAATGCTTTCAAATAAAAGCTTTTTTTATTGTCCTAAGAAATATGCTAAATTAGTGAGCAGGTTTACGTGATTGTATACTCGGTGTACTAACGTGAGTGACAAGAATTTTCATCTTATATCTGATTTACTAACTAAATATGAATGTTATTTTGAATGTGCAATATACTTCAAAGTAGAAGTCTAAAACATGTTGTTCGTTTGGAAAGAGTGTAGAAGGGTTAGAACTACTGTCAGGTTTTTACTGTTATCTGCGCCCCCCAATAGGAAACATTCTCCTGACTTTGGGGTTGGCTTACTACAGGCAAATATAATGTTCACTTTACAAGGGAAGCTGTACTGTTCAAGGGAATTTTTCCCAGAGCTTACTGAATGAGGTGAAGTTCTGCGGATGTTATTCTTCCAATCAAGTACAAGCACAAATGCTGTTTTTTGTATTATCCCTGCACATCATTAGGTATTCTTTGTAAAGTGTTACATTCCAGGCAAAATTCTCAAAGTGTGAACAGACATTTTGCTTTTACTGAGTCAACCCCAAAAATGAGGAATACAGGAAGAACTTTCTGTTGTGTCAAAGAGCCACAAATGAAGGGAAGTCCCTCTAATGGGCACACAGATGGTAGTTATATATGAATGCTAGGATTCCTATCCAGAAAGAACAACAGTACCCCTATGCTTATAAAATGTCACTGCCAATAGTTTTAATAATGAATGTTAGCAGAGGTGTACTTTAAGGATCACTATTATTTCCAATTGTCTGGTGGATTGAATAGAATAACACTGTTAATTATGCTTGTTACAAAAAAACCTGTAATGAATAAAACTCACCAGGACAGTGACCTGTTTCAAAAGGATCTGTAAAATTGTAGTGTCAGCAGTTACAAGGCAGAAGAAATGTAATATTGGCAGCAAAACTGTGCTAATAATAAGGCCATTTATACAATAAAGTGTAAGGACAGCCTAAACTTTTTTTTTTTGTTTTTGATAGAGTAAGGATTAGAACTCAAATTGTTATTGATATCTATGTCCTCACTGGGCAGATTCACGCTCTCTATTTGTCCTGGTGACTGCTGTCACTGAGACATAATATGATGAGAAAAACTAAATTTTACAGTTGTCACCCGAACACGAGGCGGGGGCTTACATTTTCTCTGTTTTGGTGACAATTTCCTTTACTCTGTGGAGATTATCTCTCACTTTCTGTTGTATCAAGGAACAGAAAGTAAGGGAAAAACTCTGCAACATATACATAAAAAGATAAACCAGTCACTGCTATATCCAAAACTAAAAAATTATGGCTATGCATACATTTTAAATAAATTCAAGTGAAAATAAAGCAGAATATTAAACAGTATAAGTGATAATATCTCCTAGTGCCCTCACTATGCTCACTATGGCTTAAGCAGCCCATTCATGAGTCTTTTTTTTTTTCCATTCATCCAGCGAGTTTAATGAAAAAACTGACTCGATTCCCCCATCTACACACTCCATGTAGATGGGGGAATCCCCCCCACTAAGCAAGGGAACGGAGCAAGGTTTTGACAAGGGAAGACCTCCCCACCATCAGAATACACCGCTATAGCTGGTGGGGCTGATTGTACAGATATTTCCGAACAGGCTGGTTGTACAGTAGTTGTAGATTGATTTCTGTACAACCAACCTGCCCATACATGGATCGAAATTTGACCGGTCTATGCTCATTGCACTAAAAAAAGGACATAAAAGATCTGACCTGAGATTTACAGGGCCCGTCTATCAAAAGGACTTATGTATCTCTATTAATAAAAGGAATGAAAATGCTTACTGAAAAAAAAAAAAATGAAAAATTGGTTTATTTAAAAACACCTGAAAGGTGATCTGATAACTATGTATGACTATATATAAATCAATATAAAGTTTGCAAATGATCTGGCAGCTGTGCAGCCCCCATTACTTCACTCCCCTCTTGCACCCATTGGTGGACCCAGGACCAGCATGGCGGGTGCCACCGGGTAGAGGAGAGGGAGACCAGAGAATGTCTGTTTGCTGGCCTCCTCCTCCTGTTACTGACCCAGAAGCTACATCTTATTAATTCCGTCATCAAAAAATTCACCACATGGGAGACATTTTGTCCCCTATATGATAGAAAAGAAAATTTATGATTAGAAAAAGAAATTAGCCAACTGCTGACCCCCCACAGTAACTTTTTTCGGCCAGGATAATAATCACGTACATGTACATCATTGTGTCTTCACCAATTTAGGAGAGCCCCCCCCCCCCCTCAAGTGGATTGCAGCTTCCGGTACCAAGTCTGACTGGCCCACAGCTATCGCATGGTACCTGGGCCAATCAGAGCACCTTGTACCATGTGATCAGGTGTAGCTAATCACAAGTCACTAGTAATTGATGTTATGAATGTGAATGCTACGCCCCTCCCCTCAGATTTCAGCTTCCTGACCAGGCCATTGTTCGCAATACGGCATTGCATTACTTTAACTGACAATTGCGTGGTCATGCAACACTATACCCAAATGAAATTTATGTCATTTTTTTCCCCAAAAATGGAGCTTTCTGGTATTTGATTACCTCTGCAATTTTTTATTTTTTGCGCCATAAACAAAAAAAGAGCGACAATTTTGAGAAAAAAAACTATATTTTTTACTTTTTGCTATTAAACATGTCCAGTAAAAAATTTAAAAAAAAAAAATCAAATTTCATCATAAATGTATGCCAAAATGTGTTCTGCCACATGTCTTTGCTAAAAAAAAATCCCAATATGTGTAAATTAATTGGTTTACGTGAAAGTTATAGCGTCTACAAATAGCAGTATATATACTGGAATTTATTTTTTTTATACTAGTAATGGTCAGCGACTTATAGCGGGACTGCGGCAGGCATTCTGACACTGGGGGGGGGGGGAACTGACTAAATGTCATTGGCATCTCCAGTGACACTAATACAGTGATCAGTGCTAATAAAATGCACTGACACTGTACTAATTACACTAGGCAGGAAGAGGTTAACATTTGGGGCAAGCAAAGGGTTAATTGTGTGCTGTGTGCTGTTTACTGTGTGCTGTGTGTGTGATTCACACTATAAGCACATTGCTTTGTATGGCTGTGCTATGCAGAGCCATACAAAGCAATGTGCAGGAGTTGACAGGGGAGAGATCTGTATTGTTTACATACAGGTCTCTCCTCTGTCAGTGATACTCGGCAATCGCCGGATGCCAGAGGGGAATCACCGGCCAAGACCCAGTGATCGACAGCTGAGGCTCCCAATTGCCAATCCCTACCGGAAATGCAAAATGCTGTATATATATATATCGGTTTATCCACCACTTTTT